GTCTATGTATGTCTTTAGCCATGAGATGGGTTTCTTGTAGGCAACAGATAGAGGGTTTTGATTTTAATCCATTCAGTCAGTCTGTGTCTCTTGATCAGATAATTTAATTCATTGACATTCAATGTTATTATCAATATTTCAGACTTGTCCCTACCATTAAGTAGGCCATATTCCTGGTTATTTTTTGTTCTCTTATTGCTGTCTGTTTCTTTTTAGTTTTCTATGTATAGTACTCCTTTCAAAATTTCTTGAAGAGCTGGCTGGTCTGTAGGTGGTAAATTCTACTGGGTTTTATTTATCTCAGAATGTTTTTATTTTCTTTTCCCATATGAAGGATAATCTTCCTGGGTATAGTGTTCTTGGTTAAAATTGTTTTTCATTTATCACTTTGAATATATTTACCTATCATTTCCTTGATTGCATTTTTTCTGATGAGAGGTCTGGCTTTAGCCTGATGGGATAGCCTTTGTAAGTGATTTGATGTTTCTCCCTTGCCAATCTTAGTATCTTGTCTTTGTCTGTCATTTTGTTCAATCTAGCTGTAATGTGGCATGGAGGGGATCATCTTGGATTGATTCTACTTGGAGTTCTTTGTATTTCTTGGTTATGGATATTGGAGCGCCTCTCTCGACTTGGAAAGTTTTCTTCTAGGTTTTCATGGAATAGACTGTCAATGATGTTATTAGTTTCTTCACTTTCTGGAATACTAATTATTCATATATTTGGGCACTTCATGGTATCTAGTATTTCTCGTGTATTATCCTCAGTTTTCTTGTTTTTTTTTTTTTTTCACAGTATTTTTGATAAGTTTTTTTTAGGTGGTTGGTTTTGTTTTCAACTCCTGAAATTCAACCTTCTGCATGGTCTAACCTGTTTTTGATACTTTCAATGCAAGTTTTAATTTCCTATATTATAGTCTTCATGTCTAACAGTTCTGTTTAATTCTTTTTTATGGTGTCCAATTCTTCTTTCATATCATGGAAGGACTTCCTCATCTCTTGGAGCTCAATGTCTCTTTTCTCTTGCATCTCATAGAATTTTGTTACCATAAATATTCTAAATTATTTTTCTGACATTTTGGTAATATGCTGTAAATTTTCCCTACTTGAGGACAGGTTACATTGTTTCCTTTGTGGGGATATACTACTTGATTCTCTCATCCTTGAGGCTCTTCTTTGATTTTTAGTCATTTGGTAATGTATTCACTTCTGGTCAATTTGTTGGAGAGGAATTCCAAGTTCAATCTGAGCTTTCAGGAGTGGGCAGAAGGAAGTAATCTGGAGTCTCTTTGCTGTACTGTTTTTATACATTTGTGCAGCAGATTCAGTGGGTATTAAGGAATATGTTAAGTCTAATAGTATTTGGATGTTTGGCTATGGTTTCCTTAGATCTGTCTAAAAACACAGTGAATAGAGATTGAGGATCAGAATGATGAGATAAAAGAAAAAGAGAAGGAAACAGAGAGAGAAAAAATATAAAACAAAGAAACAGGAAAAGTAGGAAAAAAAGAAAAAAAACAAAAACATTTAGGTTTTTTTAAAGCAAAAAGTAAAAAATTGTGTGGTGTGCTTGAGCACCAGTGCAAAATCACTAGGTCTCAGGAGCACTTTTTTAGTCTTCTTCTGAAGGCCTGCCCCTTGCCTCTCCACTAGAGTTTGACGACTGGAGTCTGAGTTATCAGTAGAAAGTCTTCATTTCTCTTTTTCCTCTGAAATCGCTAGTTCTCAGGAGCACTGGTGGAGTCTTCTTCTGAAGGCCTGCCCCTTGCCTCTTCTGGATGAGTGCGGGAGAGAGGATTAGTAGCAAGATAAAGGCAGGGCTGAAAGCAAGAGGATACTTTACCTTAAAAAATTTTAAAAAGGAAAAATTAGAAATAAAAGAGAAGACAGGAGCAGAGAGAGAAGGCTAGAAGGGCTCCCTACCACTCAAATTCGGGGGCTGCAGGCTGAATTATCAGTACAAAAATCTTCATTTCTCTTTTTTCCCCTGAAATCACTAGTTTTCAGGAGCAATGGTGAAATCTTCTTCTGAAGGCCTGCCCCTTGCCTCTCCACTCGAGTTTCAGGGATGGAGGCTGAATTAATAGTAGAAAATCTTTATTTCTCTTTTTTCCCTGAAATTACTAGTTCTCAGGAGGAATTGAGTCATCTGTTCTTAAAGAGGTCTTGGAGTCAAGGCTATCCCATAGAAAGTAAGAGGCTTAATACCCTTTCTTTAATTGAGCATGAACTTTCTTCCAACTTCTGAGTACTTTCAAGCTCTTCCTCCTAGATTACTTGTCATCTCCCTTTAACATATGAACATAGTATGAGGTAAGGATTCTTAGAGGACTCAGATGGTGGAAAAAGACTGATTAGTTTTAAAACCTCAAAGACCATTTCTAAACTCCTTCTCACACATATCCATACATACAGTTCACTTCTCAAACTGGAGCTAAGTCACCATGTGAAGCATTTTATATTTGACATAAATAAATATCCAGGATCCCATTTTACTTTAGTCCCCATAATTTTTTGATACACATTCCATACTAATGTAATCTGCAAGTTCTTTAATCCAAACTGGGTCCAGGTTCTAGCTTTGTAACTTACTCTGTAGCCTTGGTGAAACCACTTTCCCTGAGTCAGTTTTTTCCCATTGTAAAAGGGGACAAATCTACTTGTCACTATAATAGTGCTTGTGAGGGTGAAATGATAGAGTGTACATACAGCCCTCAGCACAGTACATGTCAGGCATTTAAAGACTTGTTCCTCTCCCCTTCCTCTTATAAGAGATGGCCTGGGCCAATTCTTAGCTCTGAATCCCCACGTTTTGCGACCAACCAACTTATTGGTCTTTAAATGCCAGTTAGTGGCACTGTTAGATGGGGACCTTCAATATGGTCAAGAAAATGTTAGGCTAGACATCAAGGGAATTTTTTGGTCATGCAGTTATTATGTCTGGGATCCAAAGAAGAGAATGGCTTTAATTACTTCCCCCGAGAACTCTTAAAATCAGTATGAACATACTGAACACCCTGAGATGAATATTCTACCAACTTTTCTCGAGCTCCAGCAAAAAATACCAAGCCCTGTAACAATCACTGTTGTGGAAATGATCTCATTGAGTCCTCACAATAAGCCTTTGAGCTGTGGCTCATTTGTTCCATTTTTCAGATGAAGAAATTGAGGCTTAGGGACCAGCAGTTAGAGTAATGGCTATGTTGCTGGACTCCACGTAGTCGACCCCGGTTCGCGTCCCGGACCCGGTGGCTTAAAACATGCCAGGTGTGTGTGCGCATGTGTGCCGAAGATCCCGAGAGGAGAATGGAGGAGAAGGTATTGCGGCATGGCCATCCCCCCGGGGGGTGATTTCTCTCTTTCTGTCTCTCTGTCTCTCTGTCTGGCGAGCGCATGCGCCCTATAGCAAAAACCTCTCAAAAAATAAAAAAAAGAAAAAAAAAGAAAAGGAAAGAAATTGTGGCTTAGAAAAAGAAGAGTCAAGCTCAATCAGAGAGGTCTCTGACTCACTTTAAGCTGGGAGTAAGTCAAGGTCCTCCTTTTACCCAAAGCCCAGTTATTTCAACCTGTCTTTGCTCTCTTGAGTAACTGCTTCCCTTCTCCTTCTTCTTCTTCTCTCCTCTAATCACTCTCCACTTTGCTTTCAGTCACTTTCTTAAGATATCCCTCCAAAATTATCATTTCTATGCTTTGAAACAAAAGAATTGTGTGTTATTTGGCACATAGCAAACACTTAATACATGTGTATTGAATAAAAGTGTGCCTATAAAATTAAGTCCAAACTCTTTAGTCTGACATTCAAGGTACTTTAAAATCTGGCACCAACCCACTTCCTTTCTTTTTTTTTTTTTTTTTAGGTTTTCATAATAGGGTGCTTGCTGGAAATAAACAGAAAGAAGGAAAGTGAGAAATCATCGTCCAGGAGGGATGGCCACTCTGCAGTCCCTTCTCTTCCATTATCTTCTTGAGATTTGGGGCATGCACAAGCACACACACACACGAGTATGCACACACATACACACGCGCGTGCGCGAACACATGCCTGGCGTGACTTTTGAGCCAGTATCTGGAACTCCAGCTATGGTGGACCATGTAGGAATACAGTGTCTTAACCTCTTCACCACCTGTTGGCCTTACAACCTACCTTGTTTTTCAATATATGTATTATATGTATTTCTCTTATCCACCTCTGTGGAATCCCATCTAAGAATCCAGATACCCTGAACTTGATACCCTTACCAGTCACTTAATTAAAATCCATGTACATCTCTGCTCAGGTTACACCTATTCTTATTTTATGACACCACACTGTACTGTAATTAATGGGTTATTTTTTAGTCTTCTGCTCTTCAAAGGCAAGGCTTGTTTTCACAATATTTACCTTGTCTCCCTCAGTGCTTCCCTCATTGACCTGCGAAGACTGCGCTCAGTTAACAGTTTACTGAATGGATGGGTAGCTGGAAAAATATATGGGGTTCCCCACTCCCCAGCCCCGCCTACCTCCTGTTTCTCCCAGCTTTTGTAGTCACTGCCTGCTCCCTTCTTTTTATTCTACAAAGCCATTTGAATGTCAAAGCTACTAGTCTCCAAGCAATAGCTAGAACTCCGGACATCTTACAGGCTAATTCTCCTGCAGGTTTTTTTCTGGCCCCAGGGAATGGAGTAATTAGTGGCTCCTATTAATCTTTGGAGGTAGATAAGGCTTAGGGCTTTTGGAGAGATGGAGGGTTGTGAACGAGTATGTCTCTCAACTCTCCAGTTGTCTTCGAGTTTTTTCTTTTTTTTTAATCTTCCATTTTTCTGCATATGAACAGGCAAATATCCCCATTCTCTGTATTCTTCACAACCTTTCATATAATTATCTATGACACATTGATTTAAAGTGCGACTGCAGGAAGAGAAACAGGCATGTCTCGCTTAGCCTTCTGGGAATTGTAGTCCCGCAGGCCTTCTGACTGCCTTCCTGGCCTCGAAGCAGCGGACTACAGCTCCCAAGCCTTCTTCAAACCCCTATCGCACAGGCTCAGAACCCCAACCCCGGAGGAGGTGGTTACATTGTGTCTATTGTATCCCTTGTCTGTTGTATTTGTACATTTCTCCCGACCTGAAATAGAGTGAGAAGCATGGCAGATGAGCAAGAAATCATGTGCAAACTGGAAAGCATTAAAGAGATCCGGTAAGTGGAACGTTACAACGTCTCCTCCCACCCTCTCTTGGAACTCCCAAAATCCCTAGCAGCGGGAGAGGGCTGAGTTACCTCTGGGATGTGTCTATTGTTAAGCTACTTGTGGAGGGGACCTGGAAAGGTTCTCATTTACCAGTGACTTCCAGATAATAAGAGGATGGGAGGGGGTTTGAGGAGAGTTAAAACTGAAACTAATGGAGAGAAAGACAGGGAGATCCATGGAAAGATCTACTTCTTGCCAGATGTGGTTAAGAAAGCGCAGATGCTTACACATGCTGTTGGCCTCAAGACATCATCTTCTTGGGGTGGGGTGTCCGCATTCATGGACATATTTTTTTTCTTATTTATTTATTTATTATTTACACATCATTTAGATTGCAAAGAGACTTTACCCAGCATGATATACACCTCAGTTCTTCCAGATGAGAATACTATACACATGGATGTATTTTTTAAAAAAGTACTTGTTGACTTTGTGTCTGGTTCTTTGCTCTTTTGAGAGCCCAGTTAATGTTAAAGCTGGTGGCAGCTGCTGCTCTGAGCTGCAGGGGTTAGTGTGCGGAGGAATCCCAGCCTGCAGGGGCTGGGAGGATGGTGCGTGTGCTGGTTTTCTTTTCAAACACACACCACTTTTCTTCCTTTCTATCTCTCTCTCTGATGGAGTCTGAGGACGTGGTGGCCCTGCTGAGATTGGGATCAGTACAGCTGCTGTGAGGAACTAGAGGTGAAGGCTGCTTGGCAAAGTGGAGTCTGAATCCCGGACCCCTCTGCCCCAGGAACAGCTTTGGCCTGGCTATGATGTTTCACTCACTCAGAGCACAGTAGCACTGGGCAGGCTGACTGCATAGGCCAAGACCTTCCTTCACCTCCCACTCTCTGCTTGAGTAACTGCTCTGGATCCTATTCTCTTTCTTAGGGTAGCCTGGGTCATGTTGTATCTCTGGAGTGTTTTCCAGAAACCTGAGGAAAATGAGTGGAGAGTATTAAGAATGTTTATTTCTCTTTAAGAAATAAGACTTTGACTTTGAAATTTAACCCTTGAAGTGCCTTGGTGAGACTTAAATGTGGTGGTGGTAATGGTGAAGCACCTTGGTCATCTTGGTTTCTTTTACCTCTGAAGCTGTTGCATGTCTCCTGCGGGAGAGGAAAAGGAAACAAACTGTCATTTATAGAGTCCCCTGTGTACCAAGCCCTTTTATCTAATTTGACTCATCTCAGCATGAGTTCTGTGAGCATCCTACTTCTCCTTTACAGCTGGGAAAATGTGGGTTCAGAAAATTTGAGTGACTTTCCCAGCGCTACCCAGCTTGAGAATGCCATATTTTGACAGAAACCCAGTCAATCTGCCTGCAGAGGCTTTTTTCCACTGTGTTCCACAGAAAGGCTGGGAAAGAGGGGTATGTTGCAATTTTTTACTACAAAAGCATCAGGAAATAGAGTAGGACACCTTGGTATAGGAGAGTATCAACTGTCATAATAACAATGCAGGTAATATTAGGCCTCTGGGGCCCTCTAGCCAAGTGGTTAAGGGAGTTAGATCCCACATGGTGGGCTGCAGGTTGAATCCTGCTCTTGCAGCTTGAAAAACACACATGGCACATATACATATGCACCCAAGATTTTGACAGTGTTGTAGGATTTTTGGGTTGCTAAATTCACACAAAGAATTAGAGGTACGAACAACAGGAAGGGATATTAAAAGTTAAGTTTATTGAGAGAGAAAGAATAACTCTCAGGCAAGGAGAGGGTCTAAGAGAGTAGTTTGCTTAAGATGAGCTGAGGTGAGGGATTTTTGCCTCAGCAAGGAGGGACTTGTTCATGCATTCCACTTGTGGCAGGGATCACATAATGCTGTCAGGGGCAATAATGTTGTCTTGGTCAAGAGGGGGGTTTGTTTGGGCTTGTTCTCATGAGGAGCTTTTCTCCTCAAAAGAACTAGTGGTGACTTAGTGAATTGTTGTCAAAGGGCTTTGCAGGATTTTCTGAGCCATGCAGGCCCTTCTCTCAGTTCTGAAATGTGCTGGGACAGGTGGAGTTCCTGGCTATAAAGACCCTTATCTCTGTTTTGAAATGTAGCAGGGCATGAAAGAAGCCTCTATTGTTTGCTCTACTAGCCCTAATTAACTACTTTGGGAATCACTGTGAGTGGTTCCCTGTGAGCAAGCAGTTCAGTGTGAGCTGAGCTGCTGCAGAGCTGTTGTGTCTCCATCTTACAGCTTAGATATTTTGTAATTCCATTTTGGGCCTATAGCCTAAGTATATTTTAGTGTTCCTGTGTCCTACCTTAACAGGACAGAAAAACTGAAGAAAGTGAAGGGATTCCTGTATGATAAGCAATAATGGGGGATGCTACCCTTCCCCTCTTAAGTACTCTCTCTCTGGGGGGAGGGGGGATTAGGCAAGCAAGTAGGGAGTCTGTATATCTACTTTTAGCAGACTTTAAATGAACTTCCACTCCATCCCCAGAGAACCAAGTAGGAGCAAGAATTTTCATCTCCAATGAAAATAAACCTTTTCCACTTGAAACCTCCTAAGGAGCCATAAGTTATACCCAGACTAGTGGTCACCAGAAATCACTACCCCAACCACCTGGAATGGGATCAGTAAAGGCTTAGATAGAGAGCTGAACTCCCTCCCCTATTTAGCAGTAACAAAGAATTCCTCCCCAACCTAGGTTTTAAGAACTGGACTTCTACTGCCCCCTTGCATCAAGGACAGTGTCAGAAGAGGCCTTCTAAAACAAAAGATTTCAATAATATCCAGAGTGTCCAACTTATAATCAAAACTCACTCACCATACCAAGATATTGACTTCAATGAGAAGATTAAAAAAATGAATCCCAATGTTGAGATGACACAGAAGTTAGAATTATTTGACTAGGATTTTAAAGCATCACTGAAAAAAATGCTTCAGGGAGCAATTGGATAACAATTGAAATAAGTGCTATAAGAGAAAAACCCCAGCAAATACGTACAAATTCATACATATATATATATATAAAGAACCATATGGAATTTTTAGAACTGAAAAGTACACTGACAAAAATACTAAAAATTCATTTAATAAGCTCAAAAGCAAGGTGAACACAGAGGAAAAAAGTCAGACTGTTTAAGCATAATATTGGGTCATCAGAAAAGTCATGATGTATTTTTTCATGTTCTTCTATGCAAAAATATGTCATGATTTATCTGATGACCCAATAGTAATCACCATGAGGTGATAGCAAAAACTTAATGTTTATGCTAACAGATTACCCGAATGAGAGAAGAGTGCAGAGCCATATAGTACAGAAAGAAATAATGACAAAAAAGTTCCTAGATAGGTAAAAATACATAAATATCCAGATTCCAGAAGACAAATAAACACAAACAGGATCAACACAAAGAAATTCACTCTAAGACACATTGTAGTCAACCTTCCAAAAATGAAAGAAAAATGATACTGAAAGTACCCAAAGAAAAGTAATATCAAGACCAGCAGATGGCGTGATGGCTACGTTGCTGGACTCTCATGTAGTCGACCACAGTTTGAGTCCTGGACCTGATGGCTTAAAGTCATGCTGGGCACATGTGTGTGTGTGTGCCCAGGATCCCAAGAGGAGAATGGAGGAGAAGGGATTGTGGCATTGCCATCCCCCCTGGGGGGTGATTTCTCACTTTCTGTCTCTCTGTCTCTCTCTGTCTTTCTGGCGAGTGTATGCACCTATAGCAAAAACCTCTCCCCCCCCCAAAAAAAAAGAAAAAAAGAAAAATAATAGCATGCTTATATCTACTATGGAAAAAATTGGGATGACAGATTTCTCATCAGAAACTGACAGGACCCTAGCAGGAAGTGGCACAACATTTTTTTTTTTTTTGGAGAGGTTTTCACTATAGGGCACGTGCACTCACCAGACAGACAGAGAGAAACAGAGAGACAGAAAGCGAGAAATCACCCCCCAGGGGTGATGGTCACGCCGCAATCCCTTCTCCTCTATTCTCCTCTCGGGATCTTGGGCATGCACGCACACGCGCCTGGTGTGAGTTTTAAGCCACCGGGTCCGGGACGCGAACTGCGGTTGACTACATGGGAATCCAGCGACATAGCCATTATGCTAACTGCTGGTTCCCTCATTTTTCTAGTGCTGAAGGAAAAGAACTATCAACCCAGAATTCTATGTCCAGTGATAACATCTTTAAGGATTGAGGAGTTAATCAAGATTTTCTTAGATAAAAGTAAAGCTAAGGGAAAATTACCAGGACATTTCCCCTAAAAGAAGGACAAAAGTTTTAAAAATAGAAATGAAACTATAAAGAAAGGAACCTTGGAACATCATGAACATAGAACGCAGTAAACAAAAACATGGGTAAATACAGTAGGCTTTTCTTTTCCTCATAGTGTTCCTTATCTGTGTTTGATAACTGAAGCACAGTGTACAACATTTGTAATGTGATATCAATGTATGTAGAGGAAATATTTAAGGCATTTATTTTTTAAACAGAGGAATGTAAAGTGATCTAAAAAGGAGGAAAGGTTTTTATACTTTATTCAAGTTGGTAAAATGGTATCAGAAGACCATGATAAATTATGTATTTATAATGTAGTACTTAGAGCAAACACTAAAAAAGCTATATAAAGAGATACACTCAAAAACATTGTAAAATAAATCAGAATGGAATTTCAAAAACTATTCAAGTCACAATAAGTCAGGACATAGAAAACAGAGAAACTAAAAATAAAACCACCAAGAACAACAAAACAAAAAGGAAGACTTAGCCTTAACATATCAATAATTATGTTATATATAAATGGTCTAAATACACCAGTTCAAAGAGTGATTGGCAGAGTGGGTTTAACAACATGACCCAACTATATTGTCAAGAAACTCATTTCAAATATGCTATTTGCAGCATTTAATACAAATATTAATCAAAAGAAAACAGGAGTCTTAGTATCAATATCAAAGAAAGTAGACTTCAGAGCAAAGAAAATTCTCAGAGAAATAGAGGACC